CGTAACACGTGGGCGCGGAGTGCCCGGAGAGAAGATAAACGGATTACGGGCGCTTTGTGTCAACGTGATCCGCTTCCCTTGCAGCAGCCGAATCCCTTTACCTCTCCCTCCCGTCTCCTCAATGGGATATTACGCGCTCCGCTGCCGGTAACGCTGTTCGGTCTGCAGGACGCCGCTTCGACTGATAACCAATTTTCATTACTGTTAATTTAGGAACGGCCGTAGCGTGACCTCGCTCTCTCTCTCTCTCTCTCTCTCTCTCTCTCTCTCTCTCTCTCTATTTCTCTCTCTTTATTTCTATCTATTTCCCTCTCTTTCTCTCATTCAACGAGCTTTTGCCGCGAGGTTGTTTCGCACCGGGACACGGCTGGACGCCTGCTCGAGCTTAGTATTGCGAGATAAAAAACCATTCCTGCTTCCGCGGAAGGCTAAAGCTTTAATTCTTTTCTTCTTCCATTTAAAATCTCTTTACGTTTTTTTTCAACTCGATAATTGTAAATTTCTTCTTTTTTGTACTCCTCAAATCTCAATATATAGAGTGTATCCTTTTTATTGTTTTTCTTTTTCTATCGTTTTATTACGTTCAATTTATACATGTAATATGGAACAGTATCTGATATGGAACTATTTTGTATATAATATCTTTAACATTTTGTATCTTTTCTAATATTGTGCGACTACACTATTTCTTAATTATCATCTTAGTTTTTCGAATATCTAATTGTAATAATAATAATATAAATGATAAAGAAATCACATATCTTATATTATTAATTTATCACTTATTAATGTTTTGTCTATAAATTCTGTACTTGTGAATTTATGTTTTTTTAAATGATTCTCAAAATCGTCGTTTATCTTATTTAAAAAATGATCTGAAATATTAAAATATTTAATGAAATATAATTAATGAATTTATTCGAAAGAGATAATATAATTGTTAATTTTTGCAGGACTATATGAGAACATGGGTTTCTCGTTTGAAGGAACGATTCGTTCTGGAAAAGCGTTAACTCGTCTCGTTCGATAGGCCATAAACTCTCGCTTTAGTGTAGGCTATCACACCACACGTATGATAGTATAGAAGGTATATGTGTATATCTCTATATGTATATCGAACGGCCTCGTTTAACGCTTAATGCGAAGACGGACCTTCGTTATTACAAAGGATGGAAATGGCTTTTGAAAATAGTGCGAGCGTTAGAGGCCGATCGATGACGGTGTGTTTGTGTTTGTTTGTTCGTGCGCGTGTTGCACATAAAAAAAAAAAAAGAAAAGAGCAATACAACTGTGCGAAACGTGAAATGAGAAAAAAATGTACGCGCGCGCGCGCGCGTGTGTGTGTGTACGAGTTGTGAAAAAATGTGTAGTCAACGTGCGATAAAAAATTAAAAAAACCATACACTTTTGTCTTCCATTTATTTTTTTGATTTAATTTGTTTAATTTTTGTTTTTATTTTTTTTTTTCGAAGGGATAATATACTTCCCAGGGTTTTCTTTTCTTATTTTCGATGTAAAGAAATCTAACGACGTTTGAAAAAAAAGAGAATAAAATCTCGTTAGAACAAAAGAAAATTCAATCGAGAACTGACTGATACCTACCTATCTACCTTTTCTAATCAATCTCCAGGGATTTCGTTCAATCACCAATTTTCATTTTGCGAAACTTCCAATTCGATTTCATACATCGGTCATCCTCCTTTTCGATATTTCATTGAATTCGTATTTTTAATAATGGCGTTGCGGCGATGCGAACTATCGATGTGAAATCGTTCTGACGATGGTTAAATGTTCAAAAATTGATGTTGCAAAAAAATCGTTGAATCGAACGGGATTACCAAGTTAGGAAAATCTCATGACATTTTGATAACGGGGTCGGAGAATTGTTTTTTTTTTTCGTCGACGATATCATCCCTCCGTTTCTCGATTCGAATTGAGTCGAATTTTACGAACGAGAAAAAGAGAAAAAGAAAAGAGAAGAGATAACGGGGTGGGGGGATGGGTGGGGGGGAAGGAAAGAAAAAAAAAGAACAAGAAGTTAAACTTTGTAACTTTGTACTACTCGAACAACGGTGATACGACCGACGACGACGTTGAAATCTAAACAGAGTGCTATTCCAAACGAAGGACGTCGATGTTACTCGCGAGTGCTTTCATTACTTAATTTAACCAACTAGATTGGATCGTTCAAGCTGTATCCGTTTAATCTTATATTATCAATATCCCTTCTTATCTAATAAAAACTCTTATCAAACGACGAATACGTAACGATACGTCCAAATTTTTAAAGACGAATATAATTCAGACCTAAAAAAAAAAGAGAAAAAAGAAACAACATAAATATAAAACGTTCGATAAAATTTCAATATATGCAAACACACACAATAATTTAATCAGTTATTTCTCTCGTCCAAAATTATAATTCTTAATGATAAGGTATCACAGGAAACTTGGACATAAAAAAGAAGTAGAACTTAATTTAACTAAGTTGGACGTTTCGTCCCTTTATTGGGACTTCTTCGGCAACTTAATTTTTACAGTTCAGCGTATTTACACACAATAATATTATTAAATAAATATATTTAAATAAATAATCACATAATATAAAACGAAATAATATATTTATGCTTTGTGAAACACAGAGCACACGCGTACGTATAGCAATGGCGTTTGAAACAGAGTGTAGCTTTATCACCGAAAGCTCTAAACCCCAGGCTCTCGCAACAAGGTGACCCAGTCAATTCGAGAGAGAGAGAGAGAGAGAGAAAGAGAGAGAGAGAGAGAAATGACAGAGACGAGAGACGAGAGCATTGTGAAGGGCAGGATCGGTGGTAATCGGCGTCTAACAGTCTCTCTCGGTTGCCGGAGATGAGATCGAGAGGGACCCCTCGCGCGAATCCATCGCAGACGCATTCCCTTCTCGGAGGATATGTCCTCATTGTGTTCGCCCCTTAATCAACAGCTCCCTGCCGTCCTCCGTGGCTGTTCGATGCTTATTGATATAACTCACCCTCTACCTTCTCTCTCTCTCTCTCTCTCTCACCACCTTGGTTTCTCTATTTTACTCATACTACCAAATACCTTTGATACACGTATACATATATATATGTATATTACATATAATAGTACGCACAAGCGCAGAAAGATCATCTTACCGAGTTTCTATTTGTTATGCATATATTTTCTTAGACAAACTAATCTTTCTTGTTATTTCTTTCCTAGATATTTTTGTTCTCTCTTCTTTTTTTTCTTTTTAAATCATTTTCCTCATAAACGTATAGATAACACAGAGATCAATTGTTTAATATTCTTTTATTCATTTTCTTAAGGAATCCCTATCGCAACCCATAGAGAGAAAATTCTCTCCGGTACTACTCCTTTTAAAGGAAGATCACGAGTAGAGGAAGAAGTGATAGAGGAATGGGCGAGTGGAGGGGTTGGGGGTGGCATGGGGGGTAGTTTCGCAGCAGCAATTTTGGAGGGACAAGTATACGACTTCGTATAAAGCGATTTCATCGCTTATACGTAGAGATAGAGATAGATAGATAGAGGTGTGTACGCGCGTGATACTCGTAGCGTGGCTCAATATGGCGTTCCCGGCGCCCACCACGGGGTATTTGCATGACAACGGGGGGTGAAACGTACGTGTCCCTCTCTCCCTCTCTCTCCCACGTACTCCCTAATTAGCCGGCGCCACATACCGGCGCGGATTAACGAGAATATTGCATTTTTAATAGAGTTCGCCCTATTCTCTCCTCCCCCTCCCCCACCTATACCCCATCCCTTCTCCTCCTCCTCCCTTCCGCTCCCGTTCCTGTTCCCTTTTCCAACAGCCATCGGGAGCATAGCTGGAGTGAGGACGCCCCCAAAGGCAAGCTATGGTGGTGCTCTATGGTGTTCTTTTCTTTCTTTCTTTCTCCTCGAACGTTTTCGAGCTAGCTAGGTAGCGTAGAGAGAGAGAGAGAGAGAGAGAAAGAGCCATAGGAAAAGGGAAGATAGCAGTGATTTCAACGACGATTCATAGAGATACGCGTCGTTGCTTCCAGAGACCGTATTCGGCCGAAAGAAATTCCCTTTGATGTTCCTTTCTCTCTGTCGAGGAGAGAGAAAGAGAAATAGAACGCCCAAAATAGAAGCTTTCTCGTTAATGCAATTGATTTTACAATCGTTAAAACCCACACTTAGGATAATATTAATAGAACAAGAAGGAACGAATGGTGCGAATTATTTTTGAAAGTCATATGATTTTTTTGATTCTTCATACCTATATTTTTTATGCATACGTAGTTATTCTTCTAATAAGGAGGAGACTCGAACTATTTTTAAAAGAATAAGGAACGGTTGTGCTCGAATATTTTCTTCATCGTTTTCTCTCTCTCTCTCTCTATTTTCTTCCTTCCTTCCTACTCTTATTTTCTTTCTTTTTCTTTTCTTCTTTTTTTCTTCTCTTTTTACGCGAGGGATCGATTTAGACGTTCAAAGAAAATACTATGCGCGCTTCCCAGGGGCGTGGGTGCAAAGGGGGTGCAAAGGGGGTGCAACGGCGCTGCACCCAGGGGTTTGCCGGTTCTCTGCTTGCTCGTCCGGCCGACTAGCTCCGCTGATTGCTCTTGCATCTTTGATGACCTCGTCCAGACAGAGTAGAAGGGTGAGGATCGGGGCCACCCCTGTGCGGAATGATGTGTAAAGAGTGAAATGTTGAGATTGATATTTTAACAGACGGATTACGTAAGAAGGGCACGAAGGACGTGGTGATTTTCTCATGCAAACAGAGTCCGGCCCTGATATCCTACTGATATTTTACATTTACCGTTTTATCCGAAGTATAAAATCGTCGCTTGAATATTCATTTATTTTTCCGTCTCTTTTTTTTATATATATATATATATATTTCTTTTTTTAAACTTTTTCATTTTTATACATTTTTATATTGAAAGAAAAAAAGAAACAATTATTACAGATCTAATCGAATATCTTTTTCGTTTGATTGTGTGTTGCAGAACCTTAGTGAAACGTTTCTGTATTACGCCTGGAAAATGAATTCCACGAACGGTGAGTAATTCTTTTCTTTTTTTTCTTTTTTCCTTCCCCCCCCCTCCGCCCCCTTTATCTACCTTCGCGATTAACCAGATGTAAATTTTTTCGAAATTACATTCGCCGTTGGGACGACGACACGACGATGCTCGTGTCCAACGAAATGAATAAATATTCTCATTTTCGCTCAACTTATTTGAAGATAATTAAATAGAAAACACCGATGAAATTTCATCTCGCTAAGCCAACTCAACCTTTTCGAAACTTTAACGCTCCTTTTCGTTGAAACAGAAGATACAGTATCTTCTTCGACCTCATTTCCGTAATGATAACCAGCGAGAGAACTTTCATATAAACATTGCTACGTGTATTCCATTTACCATACGTTACATACGTAATCTATGCAAGTATATATATATATAGAAGACTTTAAATTCAAATTTACATTAAATATTAAATATATATCTCTCTACACTAACCACATAAGTACGTTTCTCAACATTTTTTTTCTTTTAATCATAACAATTTTACTATTATACAAAAATTGCGAATAATCCCGTTGAACGGTTATAATGAGTATACTAATTATTTACGAAAATACGTTTATTATTACATAAAATATATATATATATTTTTATTATTTATTTATACTCCCTTACGGGTTTGAAGGGCTTCCGTTACAACTTTTTCTTTTACGTAAAATATATATTTGACGTATGTATCTCTCTCTCTCTTCTCTTTCATTATAACTTCGCGCGAAATTAAAGTATAAAGAAATAATTTTCGATCGTATCGCGATCGGTTAAAATTTTGGTCGGGCCCGATATAAAGGGTGGTTGGTTGGTGCACGTGCCGATGGGGAAATTGTATTGAAGACGTGGTAAATATTACAGTATCTCATTAAAAACGAGCGCTTCGACGCGTCCCCGAACGCTTAAGGCGTATATATTCCCATTTTTCTCTCTCTCTCTCTCTCTCAGTATACTCGTACTCTATTTACAATCTACTACCTACTATTCATCGATAAATTACCGAGAGCAGCGAGCGCGTCGAGTACGTCCTGGCCGAAAAATTTTCAACGTTGTCGATATTTATGACGTCGCGGATGGGCTTATGCATAAATCACTTCCATTTAATTGATATCCATTCTCTTTAATGATCCACCAAGAGAAAGAGAGAGACAGAGAGAGAGAGAGAGACAGAGAGAGAGAGAGAGACAGAGAGAGAGAGAGAGAGAGAGAGAGAGAGAGAGTTTCATGTATCCTATAGGATATCGTTTCACCGTCGCCCGATCGACAAATTATTAAAAATAATACGATTCTCGCGACTATACGAAAGATATTTCCCCCCTCCCCTCAGCCCACCCCGCCATCCCCATCTGTCTTTCATACGGTCGCGTTTTTTATTTTTAATTTTTATTTTATTTGGTTGGCAAACAACTGCGGATTTTTTTGGTTGGCAACTAAGTGAGTATGGTTACTTTTATAAAAATCTACAGGTTCCCAGAGGAGACCTCTCTTTCTCGCTCTTTCTTTTTATCTATCTATCTATATATCTCTTTGTATAAATAAATACTTACGTAAATATATATATATATATAAAGAAATTATRAAGAAGAAGAAATTATTAAAATAAATTAAGAATGTGCCAATATTTTTCGGATTGCCGATTTTTCGGATTTTTGTTAAAATAAACAGCCTCGCTTAGTTGACAACCGAGAAACATCGGCATATATTAATATCACATTTAAGAATTTAAACAACAATATTTATTTTCTCGATGTTTTTCATTCTTCGTTGTGATTCGTATTCCCCCTCCCCCCACCAGAATCTTTTTTACTTTTATTCCTACTTTTAAGAGGAAGAAGGATCATTTAGTTGCCAACCCAATATTATTTTTTCATTTTTATTTTGTAATCTTCTTCCTTTTCTTTCCATTTTCTTTTCTTTTCTTTTTTTTTTGTTTGAATAATACATTTTATTCTTAGAATATACAGAGAAAAGTAATCGTCGTTTCCTATCGTTCCGATCCATCAACGAAGGTCCTTCGTGATCCTGGCTGATCTCAGATGACTGATCCTCTCTCTCTCTCTCTCTCTTCTCCTACTTCTTACAGGCTCTCAATTTCTCGCTGAGAAATCGTCCGCTAAAAATGGGGGAGCGAATTCGATATCAGAACATATTTTTTTTTTCCTCTCTTTTTCTTTCTTTCATTCTCTTTCTTTTTCCCTTTCTCTTTCTCTTTCTCTTTCTCTTTCTTTCTCGTAGGCAATTACTCGCTTCCGCGCGATACGAATCGGATTACCGAATGGTTTTGTAAGCTGATAGACGCTGATAAATGATACCGTATTGACGACGATGCCTTTCAAAATAATCTAGTCTAATTCCTTATTAACCGTACGTCTTTCACGTTGATAGGTTTGAAAATCGATGTTACCTACCGGACTAGATGACTAATTAAATTTTAATATATAAACTTTTTATTATTAAAATAAACGATTATAATATGCTCGTTTTAAATGCCATTGTCAATTAGTAAATCGATATTCTTTTTATATTTTGAATTATAAAATAATTTGCACACAAATTTATAATAACTTTATAAGTGATCTAATCGATATAACACAATCAATAAGAAGACTTTCTTAAAAATATTCAAATCAAAAAATGATTCGTAATCTATGAAACGAATGCACCTCTAAGACAAATAAAAATACTGTAACAACCATCCCTATGTTAGAAAAGAAATCTTTTCCAAGATAAATTATTTCATATTTATAGAATAATTCACGTTTTATATATATATATACAATAGTTCGAATTTTATATTCCTATTAATACACGTACGTATACGATTGTAATGTTAAAAACTGTTATGTAAAAAACAAGAATAGGAATATAAAGAAAATAAGTAAAGTCATAGAAATGAAGGGAAGGGGGAAAAATAAAAATAAAACAAAAATGGTCGATAATGTTGAATTCGATCGAACGACAAAGTTGGAAAAATATACATATATATATATATATCCATTACTGTTATGCGCTGACCGCATAATTTTCCTCTGCTGCTAGTATAGCAACGTTCAAAGATTGGCGAGGGGAGTTCGGGGAGGGATATGTAATATCGAGGACGATATGACGAAGGATGGATTTGCGGTAGAGAGTAATGCCGTCGAGAAGCAGCAGCAACAACCGTCGAAAACCGGCGTCGACGAAATATAGTCGTGTTGGCAATCAGAAACACATTATCGGACGACCGTCTCGTCGGTAATACGTCCCGCTGAGCACGGAAATATATTTCGTTTCACTATACCCCGCTGCTACTATTTCCCTCTCACTCTCTAACTCTCATTCTCTCATTCTCTATCCTTCTCATTTTAACTCCGAAGAATTCCTTTTCGAGTATCCTTGATCCACCGCTTTGACCGAGGGTCATCACCGTCCTCGTTTCACCGATAAAATAAAAGTTGCAAAATAAAACTTTCGTACAGTTTCTAACAGTCGCGTCATATTTTTCTCTATTGTATTTTTCAAAGTTTTTTTTTCTTCCATCAAATGTTGTAATACATTCCCTAGGAGAATATTCGATTAAACGTTTAGAATTCAATGAAAAATATTACAATGATTTTTACGTATATACACTTAGATTAGTTATTATGTTTCAATTGTAGAATACAATCACTCGATTGAGCGCTTGAAATAAATAAATAATACAAATCTTTTGGGAATTTCAATCATTTGCGTCTTATTAAAGTCAACCTAAAAATACGTACTTCTTTTATACGTTTAAATAATAATAAAAAAGAAAAGATTTGTATATAAAAAAATCATTGATAAATTCAAATATCGCAAATATACAAAAGTAATCAGAACGAAATCAAATTCAATTTTGAACATTTTATTTTGTTGATAAAGCAAATAAATGTAATCTTAAAATTAGTTCTTTTTCTCTTTATTTCAGTTTTCGTTTTTATGCAAACTCCTTCTACTTTTCGTAGGGTATTTTCCTCACACTACGAGATGAAAGAGCGAGAAGAGGTAGAAGCGACTTCTCGAATATAAGTTCCTCTGTGTCCCGGCACATTTCGTCGGCCCTCTCTTGCTTCTCGCGTCACTCCCTCGTAATTAATCATTCCTCCTCTCCTTCCCTCTCTCTTTCCACTTCTGGTCTCTCCTCCTCCTCTGGGCGTCAAACGGAGGCAGTATGGCCGCGAGAGAGCACAACTTCACACTAACAATATATGTATATATCTATATATATATATCTTTCTCTCGTTTCTACTAAATATATGTATGCTTTTATCGAGAAATAAACTGAAACCTACGCGATTTGTTTACAATTATTTTATTATTACTAATTGTTAATTTCTATAAAAATATATACGTGTAAATTTTTGTCACGAAAAAAATCAAATAACGTTTACAAATCAGTAATTATCATAGAAAATATGACAAAAATTATCATTCTTATCGTACGTCTGTGTGTTTTTCCCCTTTTTTAAATACTTAACATTAATTAAAACAAAGCATATATTTATATATATATGTTGATAAGAATACACGCAAAAATGTATCGTAAAATGATAGAACGTACATAAGCACGCATTGAGAACCACGAAGTATGCCGACGAATGGCCTCGGACCAACGTCTGAACGACGACAAGAGGGAAAGAGGTGGAGGAGGAGGAGGAGGAGGAGAAGGAGTGATGAAGAGTAAGAGTAAGAGGAAGAGAAGAGAGAAGGCCTTCGAGACTATCGTGGTTTTCGTTGCATTCGCTATGACCAATGATCGCCCGTTCTGGAATGCTTATTCATATCGTAGACTAATGTGAATACCTGACCATTTTGAAACTCTTTCGTGCACGGTGATGATCAACGTTCCTTCTTTTCTACCTCTTTGATGCCGCCTTTTCTTCTTCGGCCCTCTGATAAATTTATCAATTTCATGACACCGTTATACATCGTTTGACCGACGACCCGCGTAAAGCTTTTAGAAAGTTTCATTATTTTTCACGTCTA